CAGGGTCATACACAGGAAGACGGGATTGCAGGACAAGCAGGAGAACCGTGAGTAAATATGGTAACCACAAACCAGCGTAGGCCGCCACTCAGGGTTATACACAGGAAGAGGGATCAATCAATTCAAAGTTTCGTAACTGACTAGGAAAGAAGACACTGAGAATCGTGGTAATTTGGTAAATCTCTCATATTTCTTTATGACACTGCACAGGCTTGGTGACCAGTTTATTCAGCAGCTTTTTCTTACACAGGACGTTCTGGACACGTGCTAAACGGCTCTAACGTTGCCCGTCCTGTACAGTGAACACGAACAGCAGCTAGAGACTCTAGGGATTTCCCTTTGAATTTCTTACCAAGATATTACACATTTCCTGCAGGAGGACAGTGATAGCCCTAGTCTTGGGGTGACCCAGGGTGACGAGAGACTCAACAGACAGCACCTCCATATGCCCACTTGAACCAGAGGGCAGAGGACTACCCAGAGGGCAGTCAAGGATGTCCTCACAGCTGCAGGACGCCCTGAGCTCTCCTGTGCTTGAGGTGGCACAGGGGAGAACATGCCGGCGCCCCAGTGTCATATTGCTGTGGAGACCTGCCACCGTCCCTCACCTCCTGAGCAGCAGTGTGGCAGGTCTCGGGACTTCACTCTCGCTTGGTCGTGGACGACTGTGCTGGTCGTCACCAAGTCTCCCCTCTCCTGACACCCACTGAGGGCCGACCACACACAGGCCTGTGCCAGGTGCCGGGAAGCCTCTTGCCCGGGATATCCAGAGAGGTGAGTATGTAGCCAGGACACAGCAATGAGGCATGGGGACTGGCATTCAGTGTCTGCAGAGAGCACTAGAGACTCAGAGAAGAGGCTAGTGGGTTTGGGGTGACAGGATGGAAGGGCTCAGGAAAGGCTAAGAGTATGGAGCAGAGCTGGCAGAGGAGTGCTGGGGGGTGCACTGCATGGAGCTCAGCCAGGCTGGCAAGCGGAGGGGGCAGAGGGGATGCGCACAGGAGGCGTCAGCCAAGAGATGGGGGGAAATGTCCCAGGAGCCCAGTCTTGACAGTCCTGTCCCTGGGCTTTGCACTGTGGCTATGGGACTTCACAGTAGGATTGTCACCAGGAGAACTTAACCCAAGCTCCATTCTTACCCCTCCCTGTGCTCTAAATGGACGAGCAGCAGAAAGGAAAGGAGTGGGGGGCTGCAGATGCAGCGTGCGCTCACCCCCACTCAACGCGCTCACGGAGGCCTGTGCGGACATGCTGGTCACAGAGGGAGGCACAGGGTGAAGGATGGAAAGATCAAGAAGGTGGAGTCTATGGACTCCTCTGATTGGCCGGCCAGTGAGGGAGGGAAGATGCAGGGTCCGTGTCTAGGGGTGGCTGGACAGGTGGCAGCACTGTCACTGAGAAAGGGAAAGAAGACGCAGCAGAGGGACTGAAGCCACAGCAAGCCTCCCAGCACAGCACCACGCTGACACACCTCCTCCCCGAAGTGGGCGTGTCCCCCCACGTGGCCAGGACAGACGAGACATAAGTCAAAATGATATACAATGTATGTGATTCCAAGATCACCCATGTGGTCACCAACATGAGGTCATACAAGGTGCTGCAGCTTCTGCCTGTTCCTCTCTAGCTGCTCACACTCTGTCCCCACTAGGCTTTGAAAAAGGGACACAGACCACGTGTAAGAGTCCTGGGTGACAGCCCACCAAGTTTCCGGCAACAACAGCCAGCATCACCTGGTAGCTCTTGGAGTAATGTGGTGAGGACTCGGGCCGATATGCAGGCAGCCCAGCCTTCACCGCGTCCCAGCTGAACTGCGTGGGGCAGAGAAAAGCTGCCCCTAAGACCAGCCCAAACTGCACATCTGTGAGCAAAACAAATGCTTGTTGACATTTTGAGTCACTATGTTTGGGGCTGTTTATATGCAGCAACAGATACCTGGAACAGAGGAGAAAAAAGCTTATGGGAAAGCTGATGAATTCAGTCTGTGATATCTAAGCAAGGTATCCATTGAAAGTTGAATACATAATCTGGAGAGCAGAGAACTTGTGGTGAGGATGCCAGTGTGGGGACCAACAGGGAAGCCATGGGGAAGAGGCCCAGTGGGGAGAGAAGGAGGCAGCCTGCAACATGCTGGCTTCTAAGGGGGTGGAATCCATTCATTCAGACAATAGCGACTGAGCACCCATCATATTTCAACCACTGCTCTCAGCCCTGAGGGCACTGCAGTGAACAGGGCAGGAACAGCTCACAATGTGGAGGTGAGCAGACAGATAAGAAGCCAAAAAATAAATAAATAAATTATAAGTAGATGGCACAGTGTGACGAGTGCAGTGAAGACAGTAAGAGAACGAGGTGCTGTGTGGCCAGGGAGCCATTCCGAGAAGAAAGTCAGGAAAGTCCTTTCCAAGTAGTTTTATGAGCTGAAACTAGAAAGATAAAAATAAGCCATGCAGGCATGAAGCTGCAGTAAGAAAGCCCTCAACAGGGAAACCATAGCAACCAATCAACAGCCCCTGAGCAAGACTGAGCTTGATAATGTCCAGGAAGGAAAACAGGCCAGAGTGACAGAGGGTGGCAGGTGTAAGCGGGACGCAGAGCAGGAAGGGCTGTCACAAGGGCCAACTGGCCAGTTCATGCCCGAGACTCCATGATGAGGGACACACAGAAAGACTGACACCAGAGAGATCACCGGAGAGACTGACACCAGAGAGATCACCGGAGAGACTGACACCAGAGACATCACCAGAGAGACTGACGCCAGAGAGATCACCAGAGAGACTGACGCCAGAGAGATCACCTGAGAGACTGACACCAGAGAGATCACCTGAGAGACTGACACCAGAGACATCACCGGAGAGACTGACACCAGAGACATCACAGGAGACACTGACACCAGAGAGATCACAGGAGAGACTGACACCAGAGACATCACCCGAGAGACTGACACCAGAGACATCACAGGAGAAACTGACACCAGAGAGATCACCGGAGAGACTGACACCAGAGACATCACCTGAGAGACTGACACCAGAGACATCACCAGAGAGACTGACACCAGAGACATCACAGGAGAAACTGACACCAGAGAGATCACCGGAGAGACTGACACCAGAGAGATCACCCGAGAGACTGACACCAGAGACATCACCAGAGAGACTGACACCAGAGAGATCACAGGAGAGACTGACAC